TATTAAAACTTTTTGATGGGACACTGAAATAGTGCTTTAGTTGGAGATCCCCCAGAAGCAGATGCTGAGAGAAGGATTCAAGTTCAAATAGCTTATTTGGGAGCTGAGCCCAGAAAACAGCCACAGGAGGGTGGGTGAGTGAGGCGAGGAAAGGAAGGCAGCCAATTCAGGATTCACTGTCAGGGCATTTATGACTGTGGTGATTGGAAATTAAAGCCACTGGGGAACTTTCGAGTCATGTAAAGCAGGGGTCCCCAACACCGGGGCAGCGGACTGGTGTTGGTCCAAGGCCTGTTAGGAACAGGGTGGCTAGGGAAGCTCACCTGAGCTGTGCCTCCTGCTCCGCCCCAGACTGAACTTGGCCTCCTGCCCCCACACTTCCTGCCCCCCCCACGGTGCTCAGCTCTGCCTCCTGCCCCCCACTTCCTGATACCCACCAGCTCTGCCTCCTGCCCCCCACTTCCTGATACCCACCAGCTCTGCCTCCTGCCCCCCAACTTCCTGATTCCCGCCCCCACCTGAACTCCGCCTCTTGCCTCCACCTGCTCTGTGTGAGCTTGGCCTCCTGCACCCCACTTCCAGACATCCCACAATGGCCTGAGCTCCGCCTTCTGCCCCCCCACTCCCTTAACTGACTACCTGAGCTCCAACTGCCCCCTGAGCTCTGTCTCCTGCCTCCGCCACCCTGGCCTGAGTTCTGTCTCCTGCCTTGCCCCCACATGAGGTCCGCTTCCTGCCCCCCACTTCCTGATCCCCCACCTGAGCTCTGTCTCCTGCCCTACCTCACTTCCTGCCTCCTCCCAGAGCTCAGTCTCCTGCCCCTCTCCCACCTGAACTCTGCCTCCTGCTCCACCTCCCCCTGAGCTCTGCGTCCCGACCAACCCCCTCCCTGCCTGAGCTCTACCTCTGGACTCCTCATGTCCGTCTGCAGAAAAACCAGTCCCTGGTGCCAAAAAGGTGGGGGACCACTGATGTAGAGTAATTGGGTATTTGTATATTCACTCTTCAGCCACTGGTTGAGGGCTCCTGGGGATTTAGGCTGCTAATTTTTTCGTTCTTCAGCCCTGCCTTGGTGGTGGTGATGCTGGGAGGGCGGTGGCAAAGGGCAAGAGTTTCCCAGGGCCAGAGAAAGCCTTGAGGCAGAGAGATGCAGGTGCTGGCCAGGTGTTCACAATAAGGCCCAAGGGGATCAATCAGGGCTCCGATAAGCTCTGCTCTGAAGAGATTCTTTTAGTTCTTCCCTGCAGATCTTTGGGAATGGTATTTTCAACAATTTGATGTTGCTGAAGTGAATATGGTTTACAGGAAGAATGATGTCATTTGTAGGTCTCTCTCAAAGCTGAAGTGAAGGGCTATATGGCTTGGTTTCCTCATCTGCAAAGTGGGACAACTCTCTCTGACCAGGTGTTGTGGGGATTACAGGTGCCAGTGCTAAGTCCCTGGCATGGTGCTAACAGTGTGAGAAGTACTGAGTAAATGGTAGAGAAAAAGATGACTGAGCTTGTGAGGGGCAGCAGAGCTAACACGTTCTCACCCCAGCCACACCCTACTTGCAGAGGTTACAAGACTCAGGAGTCTTGTCCCCAACTGGTCTCTGGGGATTTTCTGAACAGCCAGCTGCCAATGGGTTTCCTCTGCTTCTGTTAACTGGAGATAGGACCCCCTTACCTACAGCATTGTTTCTCGGTTTCAACTTTCTTGTTTCCTCTCACTGTGTCCCTGCACTTTTCTATTTGCTCACGTGCTAACCTCTGCCGGCCTCATCCCCACCCCATAGCCAGCTGTCAATGCATTTGGGAGGAGAGGTAATTTTTTTTTCCTGACTATAAGGGCAATATATGCTCTTATTCTTAAATAAATGTTATAGACAGGACCATGTAAAAAAGAAAACAAATCCCCCATAATCCCAGTTTAAAGATGTCAATGTTAGCATCTTGGTGTATTTCCCTCCAGTACTTTTTTTCTAGACATAACCATAATTGGGATCATTTTGGGGGATTGTATTTTGGGCTCACTTTTCTCATCCTGACATAATGTTAACATTTCCCATAGCATTAGAATTTCTTCGAAAGCATGACTTTTAATGCATGTTTAATACTATATCAATGAATGTATTTTATTTTTATTTTAATCATTCCTCTTATTTATGTAAATTATATATTTTTTTGTCTTTTATAAGTAATCCTGCATCATAACCCTTTAAGGGTTATGGAATATTTAATTCTATAGGGTTAAATTAACTGGCCATTCTCAGCTAATCATCTTAATACCATTACAAAGCTCCCAAATTAAAATAACCCATTAAAGTATTATCAAGAAGTTCCTGAATCAGACTGCAATAGCAGCCAAGACTTTGCCCCTGGAGTGAATGGATCTGGTAAAGACCCCTCTAAGAGTAGTGCCAGAAGGAGTCTATTTCTACCCAATAGGACTGTGAGACATACTAAGATTCAAACTCTGGGCTGTGGGGCGAGGGGCATGAGGAAGCCAAGACAAGGCTGGAATAGAATTAGTGGGAATGGAATTGCTAGTAGTTATAGAGCTGATGCTCAAGACAGAAGTCTAACTTGCGAGGTTCAAGGACTTGGGCTGAATATGTGTCAAGTGTGACTTGGATTTAACATAGTGGCACTGATAGGTAAGGGTTTGACTTGGGTGACACAATGAATATACTCATTTTAGGCAGAGGCAGTGTCTTGATTTGATGGGACTGGGGAGGATGAGGAAGGGTGGAAAGGGGCATCTGCCCACTTTGAGACAGAAAAGGCTGGTTGGGATGATAAAGGCATGGTCTAGGTTCTTGGGCAAGAGGGGTTCGAAAGGACCCCACCAGACATCAGGACTCTACTAAATTAGCAGGTGAACAAGTGAGCTTCTCATTCTAGAGAGGAAATTAGAGGACCAATTAGGAATCAAGCTGGCAGCTCAGTGGTCCACAACAGCAGGGGTTTGGTACTTTCCAATGAGATCATATGGTTCTAGGCAGTGGTTCTCAAATTTTAGTATGTAGCAGAATGCCCCCCAAACCTGGGGGTTTTAATTAAAACACAGATTCCTGGTCTCTACCACCTAAATTTCTGATTCAATAGGCCTGACATGGGGAATAAGAATTTCTGATGAGATTTCAGGGGTGCTGCTGCTCCTTTGAGGACCACACATTGAGCCACTGCTGTGTCACTCAGCATGGGTGGGAAAGGGGTTCCCAAATGTATTGAAGGGATTGGTAGAGCTAAACTTGCAGCTCAATGTGTTTTGTGCTTCCAGGAAGGCAGACATGATAGAAAGGAAAGGGTAGGAAGACCCCTTTTCAGATGACCCAAGTATCACTGGAATTCTTACATCACTGGACTTCTCTCAAGCATTGATAATAACTGAGATGTCAAGTGACGCCATTCTGATTTAATGTGGTGGGCTCTAAAACTGTCAATCTCTGCTGCAGAACCCATTTTGTTCTTTTAAGGTTCTCTTTGCTTATAGGAAGACTAAGAAAAATAATGCTCCCTTACATTAGTATAGCACATTCTAATTTATAACATGCTTTCACATAATATCTTATTTGATCTTCCAAATTCTGTGAGGGAGGCAGAGCAGGTGTTTTTATCCCATCTTTTGGACTACTGGTTCTCAAAATATGGTTCCTGGACTTGCAGCATCGTGCCACCTCGGAACTTGTTAGAAATGTGAATCCCAGCTCCTCCCCAGACCCTGGGGAGCCAAATGTTTGCATTTGTAACAAGTTTCCAGGTGATGCTGATATTGCCGCTGCTGGTACTGGACCACACTTGGATGAAAACCACTGCTAGATTAAAGTGAAAGATCTAGGAGCCCAGGGACTTATCTTAAGAGGACTCCTACCTAGGTTTTTTTTTTTTTTCTACACCTGCTGCATCCCTGGTTCATGCTCCATCCTTCCAATCCCAGCTCTGTTGCTTATAAGTTTGAAGCCCTGAGCAATGGCTTGTTCCTCTGTAAAATGGGGATAATAAGATCCACTTCTTTGGGTTCTTGTGAAGATAAAACAAGATCTAGGTAAAGTACTTAGCACTATGCCTGTGCTTAATGCTAGCAATTACCATGCTTGTTATCAATGTTATTACAAGTGTGATATTTTACTAGATTGGATACCTGCATAAGTCCTTTTGAGTGTGTGTCCCTCTTAAAATGGGGGATATTCCTAGCCAATTTAGACATGAAGTCACTTCCTTTTTAACACCCCATCTGGGATGTTTCTGTGATTGTCATGAGCCTTTGCTGATTGCTGGGGGCTTGGGAAATGAAGCAGAGGAAACCGGCATGTATAGAAGGGCAAACAGCACTGACTTCACTGAGGAAACAGAATAGTGGACCAAAAGGAGTGTGGCTGAAGGAGGAAGCAGTTGGAGGTGAGAGGCAGGTCATCAGAAACAATCTACCTCCCTCAAAGTTCCCCCCAGGGCAGCCACTGAACAAGCCCAGGTCGCGGCCCCAGGAGGCCAAGCCCCAGGGGATCTGCCCTGATCTTGTCGCAATCAAGCGGGTGAACATTCAGCTGCCCACAGTAAATGCCTCTGAGAGGTCCTCGGAGGCCAGCTGACAATTGTGAGCACAGGGAGTTTGGGCTCAAAAGCGGCTTTGTCTTCAGAGTGACTCCTGTTTGACAAAATTCTGACTAGAGCACCTCAAATGCTCAGGCCAGGGACATGGTCTTTTTTTGGGCGGAGATCTGCAATGTTCTTTCTCAGGGCCTCCTGCCCCCGCCTCCGGACGCGGTTTTACCTTATCTGGGTAGTGCAGCCCGGTCTCTTGCCGCGAGTGGACCGAGACCTTTGCAACAGAATTCAAGAAAAGACACAAAAGCAGCAAGTTCGGGCCCCGTGGGCACAGCCGGCCGCCAATGGGGCCCGGCAGCTCCCAGGCGGAGTGGTACTATGATGACAGTAGCCAACCAGCGCGCTCCATGCAAATGAGGTACTGTATCCCGCACCGCTGCTCCAGTGCCGCCTGCTTGTTCTAGTGATAAACTGAGGCCTTGCCTCCCGGCTTCTCTCAGAACGGAAGGGCCGGGGGTGGGGGGTAACCCCTTTACTTCCCCCAGGGAAAATAGAAAGAAGGGACGAAGAAGGGGGATGGGTAAGGAAGAGAAAAATACGTGACAAAGAAAACATTCTCTGCCTGGGAGGAGACTGACAGGGTGTAGAACTGGAGGGAGCATTCGCTGGCCATGCCAGTACTTACCACTGATGCTGAGTCAGAAACAGGTATCCCAAAATCCCTTTCCAATGAGCCTCCCTCAGAAACCATGGAGGAAATAGAGCACACATGCCCACAGCCTCGACTGGTAAGTAAAGACAAAGGATGCAAATGTATGCGTGGCTATGGCACAAAAGAGTTCCTTTTGCGCCCGCAGCCAGCGAGGAAAAAAGATGCTTAGAGGATTTTCATGTAAATGAGAATGGAGCTACCGCCTAATCCTTCTCAGCTGTTTATATTTAGCTTCTCTACCCGGCGCTGCTCTCAGCTTACAAAGCATTATTGTACAGGCTGGGTAGGAAACGGGCTGCTTGGGATCTGCTGTGTTTTTGTGCCTGGGGAGGAGGGGATGGCCTTTTTCCTTTTAAGTGTGTTCTTGTCTGAAGGAAAAAAAAATTCTACAGTGCAATTTAAAAAATGGTATTCTCTTCGCAAAGCTTTGGACGAGTCCGTTAAGTTCTCAATTCTAGCTAAGGAATGATTCGGTTCTCAACTAATTTTGGTGCCTAATGCGTTTTGGAAAAATGAAAACGACATGGAAGCAAAACTTCCCCATTCGTTTGAACATTTCAAAATAAGTAAAAGAGTCCCTCTGATGATGTATCTAGAAATAATGTGTATCATCTTAAATGAATTGTAAGCATTTCCGGGTATGCTGTGAGGGTTTCTCTTCAGGTATGGGAAGCTACATTTACTTAGAGGCTGCATGCCTTTTAATAAGAGTGCAAACCGAGCACTCGGAGCTTCCTTCCTGCTCAGTAACTGGTTCACAGCCACCTCGGCGTGTATCCTCAAGGAATCAGAAACACCAAATGGGTGGTGGGTTTTCCGTGGACTGAAGTCTTGTGGAGCTTGGGGAACCCGCAATACACTAGTTAGAACTATACACTAGTTAGAGCTATCTTCTCTCTAGCGATTTCCCTTAAGTTAAAAGGTGCAATATTTTGATTGGCTGTGGAGTTTGACCCTGGAAAGAGGGGTTTGTTTGTTTGTTTTTAAAGGATTTTGTGATGTAGCATTTTCCCAAAATGAGGGCTCACAGATTCCAAAGCCACCCATCGTGGAACTGTTATTTCTTCAAAAGGGTTAATAAGGGTTCAAAGGCACCCTCAGCACAACTTTCTTGATGCATGAAAACAAAGGAAGTTATATTAGAGCAATGTGGGCCTTTGTTCACTTGTGCTTGTTTTTTAAAATGTATTTTCTTAGGGCAATTAGATATTAACTTCTCCCCAGCACTTACTGAATGACACACACGACCTATGTTCTCATGGGGTGCCAAGCATCCCAATAAGTTTGTTACCAAAGGATCCCTTTAAACCACTAAATATCTTATGGTTTAGCACAGAAAAAGTTGACCACTAAAGACTTGTTACCATATCACCCAAAAATATTTTTAAAAGTTAAACCCAGTGTTCAAATTTGTATCACACTTCTTCCTGACAGGTAAGTTCAAGGAAGGGTAAGGGACAGAAAGGCAACATCCAGCTCCAGTTTGTATATTGTTTCAGTCTTTTGTGCCAACTTCTTTTCCTTCCCTTCTTGCCTTTTAGCTATCCTGCTCCTTGCTTGCTTCTGCCTAAGAAGGTGGGCAGAGGAAATCAAGGGAAGAAAGTTCAAGTACTTTTCACTTTCACTTGTGACAGCTCATCCTGGAGTTAACTCCCAAGAACCATGCAAAGCTGGCAATGTTATACTTCCATTTCCCTGCCGCTTTAGAAATGAGGAAACTGAGGTTCAGACAGGGTAAGCCAACTTCCCCAAAGTCACATTGCTTCCAAGGGGTAGATCTGGGATTCAAACCCAGAACTCTGCACCTACAAAGAGGAAGTTCTTTCCCCTACAACACACTCTTAAGTGAGATACATTCCCTTCTGATCTTTTTGGTAGTTCTGGCTTAAAGTGTGTGTGTGTGTGTGTGTGTGTGTGTGTGTGTGAGAGAGAGAGAATGAAGGATGTATAGAAGTTCTATCATTAAGCGATTGCTTTGATCTACATTTGATAAAAATGTTCCATGTTGTCCAGGTACTGAAAATTGGCTCTGTTTAAATAGAGGCAGCAAGCAATTTATAAACCACTACACTAAATTTTTTGAAGCACCTTTTATCAAACTTTGGTCATTGTAGGGATATATTCTAAATTTTGATTTGCACTTCGGACCCCAACTTTCCTTTGCTAAGGATTTTACTTTAATAGTCAAGACACATGTTAATGACTTAATAACAAACTTCATTCATGAAGGGAGTTACTGCCAAGTGAAAATGCTAAATTCACACTTCTTTTTAAAGTTTTTAAGTAGTTTCTGTTGATCTTTAGCTTTGCTAATATCTTCATATTTCAAATTATACAAACTCTGTGTTTCTCCCAGCACTCAAGCATTTCACCCAAACTTACATGTGGATCACCAGCGTCACAACTATCAGCAGGGTGTGGCTGCAGAGTTGCTTAACTAACTTGGGAAAGTGCACAAAAGGCTTGAGAGATTGCCCGCAGAGGACAGGATCCTTCTCTCAATAGTCACCAATGTTGAATTCATACAGTTAAGAGAAAACAGGACTCAATAATAAAACATCTTAAAAAAAAAGGTAGCCATTGCCACAGTGGTTCTCATTATATTACCTGAGGCATACACTGGCTCCCTAAACTCTTAACTTTACCTAGGGGTAATGGAAAAGGAAGTTTCTGAGCATATAAGGGATATAAAACTTCATGACAAGCCCCAGAATGTGAACTTACTGTCTGGAAGTACAAATTTTATTTAAATCTCAGCAATTGTGTAAAATGCCCTTTTTGTAGTGAACTGGGCTGTCTGTTTAGCATGGCACTTCAGAAAGTGTGTACAGTGTTCCTGTGTCTACATGCGTTTGTCTCTATATGGTTTACAGTGAAGGTTACCAATTCTGATCCAGTTTAACTCAGCCCTCATTGATTGAGTACGTACTACAGGCTGAGCTCTGAACCCTCAAGTACGTTGTCATCTAAAGGTTTGAGAGCAGACTGAAACATAAACAGATAGTTTCCATACAGGTTGATAAGAGCACAGCATACTAAGAATTGTGTTACCAGGTGCAGTGCGGACAGAAAGGAGAGTGGTGAGCTCCCTGAGAGTGAGTCAAAGTTTGCCACGGGGATGCTGAGTAGAAACCTGTCTTGTCATCACTGTATCTCTGGTCTCTGATACAGAGCCTGGCATAGCTCTTTAAGGGAATGAAGTGGGAAGTTGGCATACTTAAGAGGACTTTAAAAGCAATCTGTATTTTAGATTCTTGTAAGTAGTACATTGATAAGGATATTGAGGATTCAATGGAATTGTGTTCAAGGGGAACTTTTTTCGGAAAGGTATGCCTGTAGTTTTTCCACCTGCTTTATTTTTCATTGGAAGAAAATATAGAAAAAGAGGGGAATAAGTAGAATTAAATAACACTGATACAGAAATTGGAAAAGATTACCTGGATTTTATGATAGAGCTGGTATTTTAGAAACACACTCTATGGCTCTGGCTACTTTACCATACTGCATGGGTTTGACATGTTTCTTCTTTCCATCATTACAGTGTTTATTCTTGATCCTTGATTTCTTTTCTGTTCTTTATTTTCTTGCTTAAACATGATGCAAGGTGACTCATAACCTTGACTGTCAAGAAGAGAAACTGAGTAAGTAGCCTTGGGCAATATGATGTAACAGCCCTCTTTGGGGACCGAACTCCTGAGAGATAAAGACTCCTTGTAAACAAGGACTGTGTCCTCTGACCTCCCCAACCCTCAGATTTTGCCTAGACAAATCCTTGGGCCCAGCAGGTGTTCTGCCAACCCTTTCTAACAAGGCCCAGCCACTCTGAAAGCTGTCTACTTAAGGATTCGGTTAACCTTGGTCAGGTTCTTCCAGGAGTGCATTCTGCTGTCAGAAGGAAGTTGTAATTCTAGCCTGCAATAGTCACTTCCATGAAGATGGGTGTACCATGGATCAACTGAGAAGGCCTTGGAAATAAAAATGGGCTTGTTCAATATGCTACTTTAGCAGGAGTTCATTTCAGGCTTTCCTTCAAAGGGGAGCAGTGCCAAGAGACTGCTGTCTTGCAGAAGGTGCATTATATCAGTTGTGAGGTAGGATGCTCATTGGCTGGTGAACCAAAAGATGATGGATTTCCAGAGACATCAATGACTTCCTTTACTAGTATTGCCATCTATTTAGCCACTGAGTGCAGCATACATTTTAAAAGTGAGACATTTAATGGGCTGTGTTAGTGAAAGTAAACAAACATGGGCTTCCTTGGGCATTTACTGTGGTCACCTGGAATTCTGTCCAGCATTATCATTAGCCATTTTCCTGCTGGTCTCTGTCCAAAGGCAACATTCATTTCTTACAGAGTGATTATAGTCAGGCATATTGAGCATGGAATGAATGAATTTGTTTCTTCTTTTCTTTTAAAGTTGTTCTTTCACTACCCTTCCAACCCACCATTTGCTTAATGCTAACCTCCTTATGGAAGAAAGGAATTAAATCAAATATAAAAAGATAGGTAGGGTCTTTGTTTTACTGTGGTGTCTGAGCATATAGAAATGGACAGGGTGCATATGTCCTCACTCAGGCAGTGAGGGGGACTTAAAGTATTTAGTGATAGCAGGGCTATAGAAGATAAGTGAGAGAAAACTCAGTCCCCTGCCAACTGGATCCACAGTTAGCCAGCTGGTTATCAACTTTCATGCAGAGCAATGCACCAGGTGCTATGGAGGAAAATGAAAGAAGTAATCCACAGCCCCTGCCTGTAACGATCATTTCCATTTAACAGAAGGCAGTAGTTGGCATGTGGAAGTGTTTGGCATGTGGAAGTGTGCCAGGAGGCTGAAATCCCTTAAGGGAGCTTTTTTGTAAGTTTGGCTTTATATAATCTGATACACCCAAAATATTTCAATATGTAATCAATATGAAAATGATTAATTTTTATTATTTTATGTAGAGGTATTTTATATTCTTTTCTTCATACTAAGTTTGAAATCAGGTGTGTACATTACACTTGCAACACATCTCAATTCAGGCTAGCCAATTACAAGTGTGCAGTAGCCACAATGTGGCTTTAGAGAGAGCTCA